TAGTAAGTCGGTTATAAGTAGGGGTTATAATTGGGGTTTAGGGTTTAGGGTTTAGGGTTTGGGGTTTAGGGTTTAGTGTTTAGAGCTTAGGGTTTAGGGTTCAGGGTTCGGTTATAAGTAGGCTTATAATTGGGGTAACTCCATTTAGGGTACTTACAACTCCACTTATAACTCTACTTACTAAGTCCCCCTGGGCCTCCAAGTAGGATCAAGGGTTTAGCTTTGGAGGCTCAGGGTTACCAGGGGCTCAGGGTCCCTAGGGGTTTCGGACTTATAAGGTTTAGGGTTTAGGGTTTAGGCCGCTGTGAACGCCAGAGTTTGCACATAACTTAGCTTGAGACATGGAGCGACCTAGCATCCAAAAGTTCCGGTTTAGGGTTTGGGTCTTGTTAGGGGCTGTGAACACGAGAGGTTGCACATAAACCCTAAACCCGAACCCCCAAGCCCCTAAACCCGTAAACCCTATACCCTAAACAGGCGACGACCTCACACCTGCAACATCCAACAGTTCATCATCAATCACGGAACCCCCAACCGCTCGACGTACCCCAATAGCATATACCTTGGCCTTCAAAATGTTCCCTATAAGTGTACTTTTGGGGCCAGGGTGTATCCTGTTTGGGCACATGGACCCCTAGGGAAGCACACACCGGACAACAGCCTTCAGCAAGATAGAAACCCTAAACCCTAAACCCTAAACCGGAGAAACCCGGAAAGTCGGAACTCAGCAACCTCAAGCCCAATTGCTTCCGCCCTGAAGCTAAACCCTAAACCCCCAGCCACTAAACCCAAAGCCCAAAACCCCTACAACCCTAAACCCCTAAACCCCTAAAGCCCTAAACCCTATAGAGCCCTGATCCCATAAGCCCGGGGCCCGAAGCGCGTAAATCTTTAGAAGACCGGAACCTCTAAACTCTACACCTGAACCTCTCCTGCAAAACCCTTGTAATGTAGACGCCTTAACAATTACAATGGGGTTTTGGGGTAGACTATACTAAAAACATACTCAGGAACCCCCGAAATTAGTATAGGTACTTATTAAGTCTTTTGTTTTAGATCCCTGGTAGTAACCCCCCCTAAACCCCAAACCCTAAACCCTATGAGCCCTAAACCCTAAACCCTATAAACCCTAAACCCTATGAATCTTAAACCCTAACCCTCTGAACCCTAAACCCTATGAACTATGAACCCTAAACCCGAAACCCTAAACCCTGAACCCTTATAGATCCCTTTAAAGGAAGCCTAGGATGCCTATAGTACCCTTCAAAGAAACACTGAAACCCTAAACCCTAAAACC